GAAACGAAACCATCAGTCTGCCCAAACCTTTCTGCCTGGAGGATCTTCTGTGCTCTGGTAATTGGTGGTGCTTTCCAGAAAGCGATGGGGCTTGCTCCCAGGTTGCTTCCAAATGCAGCATGGATGATGAAGCCTCCCTCCCTGCCTGGCTGAGTATTGCCCAGACACTGGCACTTTCTGTTCTTCAACTAAACGAGAAAGTGCTTCATTGTTTGGGTGATGTTCTGGTTCAGGTTTTGCTCCTGGCCCTGGAGAATCAATCCAGGAATTTTGTAACTTGTGATTTCCATTTCCCCCCTTTGCAAGTTTCCTTTTCCATTACCTGCACAGAATGCCCATTCATTCTAGAAGTGACTTCACCCTGAGCACTTCTGGGTCATTGATGCTCCCAAGTGCTCTGTGATGAAGTGGCTTCTAGGTGGGTCTGCAAACACAAAATATTCCTCCATCAGTCTTTCTGGCTGGACAATGCCCAAACATTAGCACTCTACTGTTACATGTTGGTAAGTGCTACATTGTTTGGGTATTTCCCAACCAGGAATCTCATCCAGTGTTTCTCAGACATACATGAGTTAGCTTGTTTTGTGTTTTTTTTCCCAAAACCGTATGCACAGATTTAATTTACATTTTCAAAATCTGATGTTTTAAAAGGCTTTGTAGCTGGCCTTTGTCAGTATATGGTAGCATGTGCATTAATAAAAATAATGTTGGTTGATTGCAAACCCCCCAGAATAGTAGTCAAAAGTGTATACATGTTGAATTGCCTCCCTTGGAAAGTATGTATATAATTGTATACCATCAAAAGTCATGCTGGTCTTTTCCCAACAACAACATCCTTTAAAAGCAGCTTCTGGGATTCATATGTCTTCATGAATGCTTAAATGTTTTTATTTCACTGCCTATACCCTTCTGTTCTCTGCATTGTCTCCTTTCCTAGTACAGTACTCAATGATGTATACCTATAAAATGATGTAGTAAACTATTGTGTGACATTTGTTTGCATAACTCTTTCATAATCTGTTGCTTTTGGAAAGTAAATAAAAGTGCTATAAACTTGAGATCCATTTTGTCCTTTTTACTCCCCTATACACAAGAGAAATAAGTTGCTGTTCCAGAAACATTTGCAAACAGAAAAGCAAAGCACTATCCAGGTTTTACCCCTAATCATTGGTAATACAACTCTATAAAGAATTGCAAACCTACAAAACACAATGTGTAACAGATAAATTACTATGTTAACATAACTTAAAATTTAAAAATTACAACATGAGTTCCAGAGGTAATATGCAAGATGCATCATGACAAGCCATGTTGGCTTGAGATTCCATGAGCAGGAAGTCCAAAGGAACCAGGAATGGGGAGGGGCAAAGGGTGCTCAGAAGGTCAGAAGTGGGAACACAGGCAAAAACCAGTGAAAGGCAGAGTTTGCTCTCCCCTTCTAGTTGTAGAAGGGGTAGCTGTGTTGGTCTGCAAGCATTATTGGTAAAAGTAAAATAGAAATGAAAAAGCTAAAGTCAAAAGCACCTCAAAAGACTCCCATCACGTCAATGAAAGACTACATGAAAAACTTCCCAAGTCCTTTTACTTTTTATTTTTCTTTTACCTATAAGCCTTACTCTGAGGGTCCTGAATCTCTGAACTAGCAGTTTTACCTTCTCAAAACTGGGAGCCGGTATCCTCTTAATCAAAGTTATTTTCACCACATTGGTTCCATCTTGAATTTTTCCAGATAGGTGACCAAGAAGTCATGTTCCTATATAGGTGTGGTGGCAACAGTCTCCATTTGCCCTCTGGATTTTAAAACTACACAGCATTCTTTCCCAGCCTCTGCCTGTCCCAACTGTTGGGGAGGTTGGGGAAGGCTGCTCTGTTTGAATAAGCAGTGCTTTTTAACCCAATAACTTGGTGATGGGCAGCTGGGAGTACCAAGCGCTAAATGAGTCAGCCATGTTAATCCCTGTTTTGCTGCCTAGTTAACTCAAAACGGGACAAGATTTTGTGTAACTGCTAAGACAGCTTTGGATTTGGACAGATGGGCTCATCAAACAGGAAGTAAGCACTAAACTAAAATCTATCTAATGTCGCTTTCTACATATCTGGCAAGCATATTGATACAATGCTATCATTTGAGAAATTTTGTAGGGCTTCATTATTTCCCTGACAAGGGTGGACATTTCATTTAAACCAGGATCTTTTGCTTAGACTGCCAGGCCTGAGTGAAATCTTTTAAAATGTTTCCAAGCTGATGCATTTCCAAAAGGATACACCCAAATATCCAAAGTCCGGTGGGGTAGGGGAAACACTTTTATTAACTGCTGTTAAGTCAGTTCTAGGTAGAGGGTGCTGAGAAGCTTGTGCGTGCATGCGTGCGCGCTGCGCTGTGCTGTTGTTGAGTCTGAACCAACTTATAGCAACCCTAATAAGACTTTCAAGGTAAGTGAGATATTTAAGGAGTGGATTTAACCAATTCCACACAACCCCCAGTGAGTTTCCGTGGCCAAGAGGGAATTCAAACCCTCTTCTCCAGAGTCCTAGTCCATCACTAAAAATTACAAACTTCAGCTAGCTTACAACAGTGTACAGGTTCATCAGGCTGTGCACCACAGAGATGTGGATGATGCAGAAAAAATATTAAGAGTTTGAAAAATCAGGACCAGATGTCTGTGCCAGGCTCTTTTGTTAAAAAAAAGTTTCAAAATGTGGGTGTTGGTGTTGTAGCCTCAAGAATAAGTGGCAACCTTTTCTCTAATAAAATTGGGAGAGGTTTTCTGATCAACACCACCAGAGATACAGTCTGAAACCTACACCTCTTGAGTTTTCATTTAAGTCCACAACTAGACCAGGATTTTCTTCCTTCTTTGCCTGTGATTGCTGGTGTTCCATTCTTTGCTCCCCTCTTTTGTTTTAATTCTTGGTTTTCATCTTGCAGGCTCCTGTTTTGTTCAGTTTTGTTGTAATTGAAGCACCATCAAAATAATGTTTAAAAGACCCAAGAAACTGATTTTAAACCATCAAAGCTCGTGATACAATAAATCTATTAGTATTAATGTTGTTACAATACTTTTGTTAAAAAATTTTAGCTTTTATATGTGGAAGATATATTGATAAGTACAATAAATTTAAAGTGGGCTCTCCTCCTTTCATAGCTATACTGACTTTGGACCTTGCAGCTCAAGACAATAAAACTGTTGAAACCAATCTCTGTTCTCTTACCTACTGAATATGAGATTCATATCACTTTTCTCTTGCACATGTTAGTTTATTGCATTTTCCTGTATAGAATCTATCCCATTTACTGAGTTATGTTTACAGTGCAATACTACCTGAATATCCTTTTTCAGACTCTGTATCTGTTGCACCCATTATGCCTGTGTTCTTGTTTTGCCCAAGGCTGAATCCTCCACACACAGAACCTCACATACTGATTAGATGTTTCTGGGTTAGGTCCCAAAATGTAACTTGTAAGCAATGCTCCACTGGTAAAATTTGGCTCTTGGCAGCTATTTTTGGGGGGATATTTTTCATGGGACTGCTGAGTATCTGCATTTGGCTGGGGAGATTTTTGATCCTCCTACTGTATCTTTGTTCTGCCAACTAAATTCAGGGTGTGGCATCTCCTCTGTGAGTACACTGGTCCTTTCCTCTTCCCACAGGATAGCCAGGGACACCATTCATTCGCTTTCCCCATCTGCTGAAGGCAGCATAGTCCAATCTGTGTTCGACCAGAAGAGCGCTGCACTTGGGAGGAAAGAAGGATGATGAAGAGTGAAAGGTTACATCATCTCAGTGCCCTGGGAGTCCTGGGTCCCTCTGGTAAATGTCTGGGGATTCCCTCAGCTGAGTTGCCCCCTTCAAAGGATTCCTTGAAAGGAAAACATTGGCAAACTGCCATCTAGCTCAACATTCTTTGAATTAGCATAGCCAGGCTGCTTTCTGAGGTGTTTTCTAGCCTAGTCCAGGAAGCCATTTTAAACCAAAAATTCCAGAGAATCGGCCTCAGCTTCTTCCCTGGCATGACCTGTGAAGAGCTTGGTTAATACTAGGCACTGTCCCAGGATTCCTGTAAAAATGGCAAACATTCTTGAGGCACCTTAAAGACTTAAATCTGCATGAGCAGAGATGGGGAAATGTACTTTTCAGGACTACACCTTCTAACATCCCCAACCAGTGGCCACCCTGGCTGTGGGATTCAAAGAGTTACCACCCTAAAAAGCTATTCTTCCTATCTCTGGGCATTAACTTTCCTGAATTACAAATAAATGTTATCTCAGGAAGGAAGATAACGAGGGATAACGAGGCCAAACAACCTTGTATTGCCCTTATCTATTGGACTATGAGTCCCATACTCCCCAATTAGCATCACCAATGATAAGGGATTATGGAAGTTGTAATCCAAGACATTTGGAGGATAATCAGTTGCTTAACCTAACCCTTGAGTGGTATAAATCAGAACTGAGTTGATATTATGTAATTATTGTTAGTGTAGTGTAATTGAAAGACTATCAGTTTAGGTCTCCAGAGACCTGGGTTCAAGTCCCAACCTGGTAAAGTGGTAAAGCCACCTCAAATTCTTGAGGAGCATCTGAAATGGGCTTTTAAAGAAGGGTACCTGCCAGCAGTTACTTTCTAAATGAGGAAGCCTTGTAATGCAGTAGGACCCACTATCCACAGGATATCCGCTGATTCACTTATCCACTGGCTGAATATACTAAATTATTAAACCCCAGAAATACCTATTTGTATGTATTTCCAGGTGTATTTACCTGAACTGGTAACTAGAGGAAGTCAAAACCCATGCATGCATTGTATAGCATTTGATACTTGCTTGTTTTTCAATACCCATGGGGGATGGGTGGGCTTGGAATTGATACTGTGGTTTTATTGTACTTCTGCAGAGCATCATGTGTAGACTACATTGTTTTAACCATGTAGGGGTCACCAATGTCAGCACACACTTACATGAGATACAATAATACACTGCTTCTTAATCACAATTCCGAACAAGTATTTTTATATCACAACATTTGGATCTTCTCAACCATAAGGGACAGCCCAGAACTGGATATGAAGTGATCCACAGTGCACTGTCTAGTTCCCAGAAAGGAACAGTTCTGGAAACACTCCGTGTTGCATGATCCCATGCCCATCCTCTTTTGCCGTTCCTTTTCTTTTCGTCCTCTCATAGCTTACAGTCGTCTAGCCAAATAGTTGAATTACGACCGTCACAATTTTCCCTCCAACTCATCCTGAGAAGAGAAAGTCAGAATTGGAAGGAAGCCGAGAAGTAGGTGGGTAGGTAGGAAGGTAAGTTTAAGTTTAAGAAAAAGTATCAGCCTCAATCATCAAGGGACACAAATTTAAAGGGCATGATCCACTAGAACATTCTGCTGGGTAATACAGAAACAGAAAAACTGGGTTGGAGCACAATCGGGACAGACCCATGGCACTGTATTGCCTGAGGCAAAGAGCTAAAGCTGTGATCCAAACCTATGTACTGCCAGAACTGAAAGAATACCAGAACACTTTCTCTTGAAGGTTCCTTCGACACGTTGAAGTTAAATCTTCAACAGTGGTGGCAGGACAGCATCCTCCACCCCATTTGAACACAGAAGACCAGTTTAAAAGGTACAAGAACAAGCCATGAGGGACACCGCTCTCTCCTCCAACAGCATGCTGTCACCTCCCAGTCTCTTTGTAAGGTGGCAGCTTATCTCTAATACCTAGTGGTAGGGCTGGCTGTGAGTAGAAATAAAATCAGGTTTCAGAGGCAACCCTTTGGTTCTACAGAAAATGCTCTCATAGACTCAACGATGTAATGATCTTTTGAGTACACTCAACATGGAGAGTCAAGAGCGGCATTCAGTGGAATGTGCATTGGAACAATGGGATCAGCTGGTTCGAGGATAGATTCCCAAGAGACAGCTGAAAGCTAACTAGTGAAGAGGGAAATGATATCCAGAGACATCTTGATATGAGAAGTCCAAAGAGCAGGAGTCCTCCTGCTGTCCCCGACCTCACTCTCATGCTCCATGTTCTTTAGCAGAATAATTCAGGGAGAATAAGGAAAGGTAGTTGTGGGAGGCAGTAGAAGACAGGAGGGCCTGGCGTGCTCTGGTCCATGGGGTCACAAAGAGTCGGACACGACTAAACGACTAAACGGCGACGAAGGAAAGGTAGAAAACAACGATTAAATCCAAAGGCAAGGGGATGATACCTCTATTAGACCACTGAAAAGTCACAAACAAATGCGAGCTTTCAGCCCGCAGGGGTCTGAAAAAAACACAAGAGTTCCAAAAATCAAGGGTAGAGGCCACTGCCAGCTTCAAACCGACGGCTGCAAAGTCAAAGCCAGGAGTGCAGGTTTTCAGTTCCACCTCTGGCAATGGTGACTGAATTGTCCCAGGCTTGCCAGGCGGAAGGTTCCCAGTTTAGGAGGTGCCAGAGGTGGAATTTAAAGCCATCCGTCACTCCTGGCTTGACTTTGCAGCCCTCAGTTTGAAGCTGGCAGTGGCCTCTAGCCATGACTGCTGGAGAGCTGAGTGGGATAGGCATCTCCAGAGGTTGGGAGTTGGATTCCACACTCAAGGATCCATAGGGTCCCTTTCAGATCTGCAGTTCAAAAATAACGATTATGATGATTTTGAGCACTCTGGCATTTTTTTTCTGCACCACTTACAGATGATGAACATTTGTATGGGCTGAAAACTAGCATTTGTCTGTGATTTTTTTTTAATTTTTTATTTTTGGGAGAGGTCTAATAGAAGTGTTACTTACCCTTGCTCTGGCACATGCACAAGGACATGACTCTTCCCCCCCCCCATTCATTAAAATGTATTAGAGTCATTATTCAGATAAGCCACCAGGTGGCAGTTTGTACAAGAGATAAAACAGCAAGCTTTTCCTCACTAGCATTGCTGTTCATCATTAAAAGGGTGCAAATACACCGGAAAGCTGAATTGGAACAATTTGGCTTTGTTGCAATGTGATTTGCAGCCTGTATTTAGCTGAATTTGCAGTCAGTGGTCACATAGGGGATGTGGAATGATTCAGGAGTTCATCATTGATACTGGATCAATGCGATTTGTATTATGTGCTACAGCCTCTCCTTCCTTCCTTCCTTCCTTCCTTCCTTCCTT